ATGGAATATTAGAAGATTGTAATTTTTAAAAATATTCAAATCAAAATAATTCAAACTAATAACAATTAAACTTTAAATGTAAAAAAAAAAAAAATATAAGAAGCTTGTAATTTTTAAAAATTATTATAAATATAATTAAATGTAAGAAGCTTGTAATTTTTAAAAATATTCAAACATTTGAATCAAAATAATTCAAACTAATAACAATTAAATTAATTATAAATATAATTAAATATAAATATAAAATTAATTGATATTATATACAGTACAAAAAAGGAAAAAAAACAATTGTAAGAATAAAAATAATACTTATTAGAAAAATTAGAATATAAACAAACAACATATTAAAAATTACATTCAATAATAATTGTAATAAGATTTAGTGTTAAATTTGAAACAAATGATTAAAAGATAAGAAACAACGATAACAATAATAATCAACAATAATAACAACAACAACAAAAACAAAAAGATGATTCGTTTCGGTTGATGGGTGATGTTCTATTCGCACCCCTTTTCTCGTGTCACGTCTAGAGCTATTGGGGGGTAAGAGTAGAGGGGCTTAAGGGTAGAGGGATGAATTAGAGGGTGAGGATGATTCGTTTTCCATCTTTCTCTTTCTCGCTTACAAGTGACTGATTCTGTCACTTTCTATATCTATATCTTTATCATCCCTCTCTCTTTCTCTCTTTATTCCTGTCTTTGGGGTGGGTGGGTAGGGGGTAGTTCTGTCTCTGTTTTTCAGGCAAGGAAATACTAACGTTCTTCTTCTCTTACAGTGAAATACGTCGACGTCGAATCGATGGAAACGTCGCGCGCATCCGTATTAAAGCTGAGCTTTTCTCTCGTCCTACTATTTCACCAACAACGATTTTCAATGCTTTTTTGTTGTTGTTGTGTATGTGTCTATCTTTCTATTTTTTTATTTTTTTTTTTTTATTTCTTTCTTTTTTTCTCAATCATTATCTTCTATATATTTATATATATATATATTATTTCTTTTTGAATATTTTATTTTGTTTGTTTCATCGTCACGTTTATTTTGTATATAAAAATGTTTTTTTTTTTTATGTGTGACTGCCTTTTTCCATTTTTTTTTTTAAATCTCTTTTTTTTTCTTCTCAATCATTATCTTCTGTATATATATATATGTATTATTTCTTTTATTTATTTATTTGTTTATTTGTTATATTTTATTTTGTTTGTTTCATCATCGTCACGTTTATTGTTTCAATCATCTTTCCAATGTGATCACTTTCTTCTTCTTGGTTTTTTTTTTTTTTTTTATTGTATTTTTTATTTTCTGTTCTTCGTTTTTTGTTGTTGTTTTCATTTACAATTGTTTCTTTTCTTTTTTTATTTATTTATTTATTTCTTTTATTTAATTTTTTTTTTTTTGTATATTTCATTTTGTTCGTTTCATCGTCACGTTTATTTTTCTAATCTTAGATTTTTTTTATTTTTTTTTTTTTAATTCTTTCTTCTTCTTTTTCATCTTCTATTCTAAAATCTTTTTATCTTTAATCTATCTCTCGTGAAAATGTAATTTTATTTTTTTCTCTCCCTAACGAATATCTATATATATATATATATATATGTTATATATATGTATATATATATGTTATACAAATATGTTATTTCAACGTTTTTACCACATTTTTTTTCCCATATCTCTTTTTAAGTCTCATTTTTCTTCATTTTTGTTTTATATGTTTTATATTTGTATTCTTTTTTTTATATTTTTTGTTCATTTGCAATACCCAGTAGCAAGTAGCAGTAACAGCAGCAGTAGCAGCAATGGCAGCAACAGCAGTGACAGCATTTATTAATTTATAAAATATTTTCATTCATTTATATATATATATATATATTTGCAGCTGAAAAAACTACGAAATAATACGAAAGAGAATTTTGAAGTAATTTGTTTCTTCACTATCATCGCCATTATTATTATTATTAATATTATTATTATTATTCTTATTCTTATTTCTGCGGTAAAACAAACAGAGAATTAAATATGCATTCTCTTTAATTTAAATTAATTTTCTCTTATAATTATTATTATAGTTATTATATATATATTATTATTATTATTATTAATATTTATAAGTATCTTCGGATGCATCTCGAAATTTTATTGTGGACGAATTAAAAAAATTATTTCTGCTTCCTTCTTCTTCTTCTTATTATTATTATTATTATAGTTATATATTATTATTATTATTATTATTATTATTATTATTATTATTATTATTAATAATAGTATTATTATTATTTATAAGTACCTTCGAATGCATCTCGAAATTTTATTGTGTGGATGAATTAAAAAAATTATTTCTGCTTCCTTATTATTATTATTATTATTATTATTATTATTATTATTATTGTTATTATTATTATTTAAAAAACAAATAGATAATTGCATTCCTATAAGAATTAATTTCTAATTTTTATAACACAAAAG